AGACGCTGGGAATTGTGCTGTTTTGGTGCTTCTGGATCTTAGTGCAGCGTTTGACACTGTGGATCATGGGATTCTTCTTGACCGTTTGCAGGAGTGGGGAGGGATTAAGGGGCTTGCTTTAAAGTGGTTCTCATCCTATCTACATGGAAGATCCTTTGCGGTGGAGCTAGGAAGCTCTATTTCATCTTCACAGTTTATTTCCTCGGGGGTTCCTCAGGGCTCATGTCTTGGTCCTGTGTTGTTCTCTTTATATATGCTGCCTTTGGGTCTAATCTGTCAAAAATGGAATGTGGCTTATCATTGTTATGCTGATGACATCCAGCTGTATGTGCCCCTAAAATGTAACAATGACTCCAATATTTCAACTTTGTTTGAGTGTTTGGATGAAATAAGGGCATGGATGGCTTCTAGTTTTCTGCAGCTCAATGAGTCTAAATCGGAAGTGGTGATTTTTGGCCCTCCAAAGTTAGCCAAACAGCTTTGTGTACATCTAGGCCCCTTAGCCACTAATATTAACACCCAAGTAAGAAACCTTGGTGTAATCTTTGTCTCGGAGTTGAAGTTTGATAGACAAGTTAGTGCTGTTGTTAAAAGTAGCTTCTATCAATTGCGAATTATTGCTAAATTGAAGAGAATTCTGTCTTTTGAGGACATGGAAACCGTGATTCATGCTTTTGTTTCATCCAGATTGGATTATTGCAACTCATTATATTTAGGGTTGTCTAAGAATCTGCTCTCACGGCTTCAGCTAGTACAAACTGCTGCAGCTAGACTGCTGACTGGCACAAGGAAGTGGTCCAGCATTTCAAGTAAGAAACCTTGGTGTAATCTTTGACTCGGAGTTGAAGTTTGATAGACAAGTTAGTGCTGTTGTTAAAAGTAGCTTCTATCAATTGCGAATTATTGCTAAATTGAAGAGAATTCTGTCTTTTGAGGACATGGAAACCGTGATTCATGCTTTTATTTCATCCAGATTGGATTATTGCAACTCATTATATTTAGGGTTGTCTAAGAATCTGCTCTCACGGCTGCAGCTAGTACAAAATGCTGCAGCTAGACTGTTGACTGGCACAAGGAAGTGGTCCAGCATTTCTCCAGTGCTGGCTTCGCTGCACTGGCTTCCTGTTGATTTTAGAGTCCAATATAAAGTTTTGATAATGGTTTTTAAAGGTTTGCATGGCCTTGCTCCAGAGTACATTTCATGTCTGTTACAGCAGCACTGTGTTGCTAGACCTCTAAGATCATCACAGAGTCTGCTTTTACATGTTCCCAGATCACGGTTGAAAACCAAAGGTGATCGAGCCTTCTCTGTGGCAGCCCCACGTCTTTGGAATAGTCTCCCATTGCACATTAGATCATGTGACTCATTTGACTGTTTTAAATCAAAGTTGAAAACACACCTTTACTCTGTGGCATACAGTTGCCCCTAGCTTTTGGGACACTGAGCAGTGATGGATATTTTGTGTCGGTTTGAGTAATTTTTAGACATGTAAAGCACTTTGGTCAACTGGTGTTGTTTTAAATGTGCTATATAAATAAATGTTGATTGATTGATTGATTGAATCTCGCTGGCTCTGTGTTGCAAAGCATGTGATTGGCTGTTTGCCACTGATGTCACACATTCATGTGCACATGCTCCACAAACTCCGGATCAAAGCCTGAGTTGACAAAGAAAGTTGATCATTAGCATATGGTACCAAAAAAAAACGGATGGTACCGGAAAAACTGGATACAATCACCTACATACAATCCTCTACCCCCTCCGGTTATGCAAGCGACCCTGCTCACTCAGCTCCCTGTCTTTCCTCCGACTCCTCCTGCACAACCCCCCAAGATGTCTCCATCTCTTAATTGCATGAGGAATAAAATAATAGCAACTTTGCCCTTAGCAAGAGCAGACTCCAATAAAGTCAAAGGTGAGCTATAGCATTGGTTCCCAACCACATTTCAGGAGATTTCTGATTGTAATAATATTTCACAATATTACTGTTTTTATTATTTTGATCAAATAAATGCAAACTTTGATGAGCATAAGGGACTTATTTCAAAAATAGAAAAAAATCAAAAATTTTTCCGGTAGTGTAGTTTCTTTGCACATATTATACATAAAAAAGTTTTTTTTTTGCTCCTCTCTGGTGATATTTGAAGACGCGAAGACAAATACCTGGATCTCCATTCCATCTGTCCCAGCAGCCTGTAATTACACACTCCACTCAAGAGGTGGCAGTGTTGTGCTCTCTTCACCACTGCCTTCCTGCCACACACACAAAAATTGGTGAGCCATATTCCAACATGTTATTGAATCAGTTGGTTAATAAATAAAATAGAATAATAAACCTTAATTCAAAATTGGAATTATAGGGTTAGTTCACCCAAAAATGTCATTAATTACTCACCCTCATGTTGTTCCAAACCCGTAAGACCTTTGTTCATCTTCGGAACACAAATTAAGATATTTTTGATCAAATCTGAGAGCTCTCTGACCCTCCATAGACAGCAATGCAACTGCACTGTTCCCAGGTCCAGCAAGGAAATTGATAAAATAGTCCATGTGACATCAGGGGTTCAACCGTAATTTTATGAAGCTACGAGAACACGTTTTGTGCGCAAAGAAAACAATAATGACACAATTTATTCAACAATTCTTCTCCCCGAGTTACCATATTCCGCCATTTTGGAAAGTACAGAATGTAATCAACTTAATCAGCGTTGTTTACATTCAGTAGACAGCGCGTGCATGCTGAACGTAAACAACGCTGATTACCG